GACAAGACAAATGGCGGAGAATAACTCGGTTATGGCGTGACCAGGGTTTACGGGTTGAGAAAATAAATAAATAAATTAACTGAACTAGCCTTACCTTTCATGTAACATAACGACACTGTATTTATGAAACGCTTCATTTTACTCTGTGCGTGGTCACCATTTGTGAGTTTTCTTGTAACTGGGATGAAAGGTTTAAGGCTCAGAAATTATTCTATGGTCTCTAATTTGAATTTGCGAGTAAGCCAATATGATTTGTTTACAATAGGCCCTTTGGAGCTAACTGATCACGTGGTACAAAACCGCCGAGCTGGAGAGCAAAAGTCGCACTGGGAAAAGACAAACAAAGGAAATTAACATTTAAAATTAGGTTGCCTTTTGTTTGTCTTGTCTCGGTGCGACTTCTGCTCTCCTGCACGACCGTTTGTTCCACGTGAATGGCTAGCTGCAAAGCGCCAATTACAGTGAACTAAATATATACCTTGTGGTTAATTGTATTAAAAAGACAGGAACTTCTAAAAGACATTTTTTTTTTTTTACATATTTGGCACTTGGTTTTTGGCCAAAAGCAAAGTCTCGCATTCGTTCATGCCAAGAACAATCGGCCATTTCCGACTTCCTAACACCCGCCCTTTCCAAAAAAAGCTAAGTTGAGTGCAACACCTTAGTGTGATAATGACCTTCATTTGCAAGAGCATTAAAAAATATTTATATTCGTATCAATGGCTTCGCACTTATCTTCGCTTTCAAACAGACGTTTGGGGTAACCGAGATATACCCTACTACCTCATATTGTAAGCGTATGCATGGTATAAACTTCTAGCCTGTAGTGCCAGTCATGCAGGCTAGGCAACTTCTCAGTAGCTTGGGAAATTTCGTATTCAAGGATTACAGACATTGCGGTCTTAGAGACATTCTTCCGCTTATGAAGCCAATCGGTGGTTTCGGTTTTCTAGGAGCGAAATATATGAACCCTTGGACGTACATGCAAATTCATACCGCCATTCATACCGAGAGTTTTTGATATATTGCAGCATTTCGAAAGGATTTTACCTTTAGTGGAAAGCCTTTGATCTGCCCTACAATATAAGGTATATTTTATGGTTAGTGGCGCTGCTGGGAGGCAGTGGCGTCACCAACAATGGTCGCGATCTTGGATTTTTCAGGTTAAAACAGCGAAAAAGGTGATTTTTTGTGCTTGAGATGAAAAATAACATATAAAAAAGCACTTTGCATGATTTTAGCCACAAAGTTTACTTTTATTTTTTTAAAAAGTTGTTAAAACATGTACTTTTACTCTAAAATGGTTTGACCACCTCTTACTTATGACGTCATATCTCGTAACCATAGAAACTGACCATAACTGAACTTAACTCAAAATGCGCGCGATGGATGAACGGACAGTGACTGAAAACATCAGGTGCTGATGTTTTATCCTCTAGGAGAAAACTCAAGGGGGGGGGGGACATCCACCTCCCTCCCCCTCCCTTGTACGTCCAAGATTTAATATAAGCTTGCATACAAAATAAATGATTCAAAATTTACCATGTATAGAACACTGAAAAAAACAGTACATGATATATATATATATATATTTAACAATTATTCTTTGAAATCGAGGTGAATAGTGGCCAAATATTTACCGAGCCGCGAAAGCGGCGAGGTAAATATTCCCAAAGCCACTATTCACCGAGATTGAAAAGAATAATTGTTTTAGTATATACACACGAAGTGATCTCAACAAAATCAGAGAGGAAACCATTAAAAAGTACGATTTGATTGACAGATCAAATCACGCGTAAGTTTAAAAATAGATCTTTGCAGAATTTTCAAACATGGCAATTCACAAGTTTATCATTTCGCAAACAACAGCGTAATGGCTTAAATGGAACCGCTAAAAGTTTGAACTGTTTCCTTACCTGAGAAGAAAAGTAGAGCTTTGTTGTTTTCTGTTGACTCGCCAAGTTTATAGCCAAAAGGGTTTGTTGTGTCGTTCTTCGCATGAAGTGCCGACAAAAATGGCGGCTCGGTTGCTCGAGGTAAGACGTCGTCTTCCTGTATCATTCTTTTTCCTGTTTACTTGAAACGTAGAATTTCTGCAAACATTTCCTTTTAAGTTTGTTTGTCATAAATAAACTTCGATTTTTGAGCCAAAATCTTCCTGTTAGAAAACGCTGAGTTCACGAAACGGCTTCTTCTACGCGAACACACGGGAGTTGTAAACAATCCATCGAGCAAAAACTCAGCTACATTAAATTGAAAAACGCCGTATTGAATCCTTCCAAGTCTCTTCTTGCCTTAAAAAAAAGGTCAGCCCTAGGATTTTGTCGACTTTTAAAAGATCGTTCTCTAAAAAAAATGGGAAAAACACCGAGCTCACACATTATCCACTCGCTAGGAGGTGAATATTGTTGAATAGTCCGAGATAGCGAACCAATCAGATTGCTTAAATCACCAAGATCGCTTATACTAAATATATATATATACTAAATATATATATATATATATATATATTTGCATATATATATATATTCATAATAAATGTCTTCGACCAAATAATCCAACTCTGCAAATCTACACATCGCTCTAGTTTACCTATTGAGCACTTTAATAGCTGATGAAATCTTCAATTCATTATATTACTATATTATATATATATGATGTTAATAAATCTAAAGAGCACTATGATAGCACACAAATGCTCGTTTCAATTTGTTTACTGTAAACGTCTTTTAATGGTAAAATTTTGGCCCAAAAAAGTGCTCTGGGAAGAGAGCGAATGGAAACGAACGTTTTCCTTTCTCCCTCCCCCCCCTCAAATTTCAGATCTTCTCTCTCTAACCTAAAATGAAGGCCTGAAACTCACGCCAACTTGCCGTAGCAAATTGCTGCCATTAAGTGCCCAACTTGGGGCCTGAATGTCAACGGGTTAAAGTAGGAAAATGAAGTTTGGTGAATACAAAAGAATTAAATCGGACGTTGATAGACAGAAAGACAACGTCGTGCTATTCTTATCAGAAGCGCTCGAATTTATTTACCCTCGCAAAGTAAATACGCCACCAAGTTTCCAATTTCCTTTATTTTAGTTCTCTGATCACGAGGCATGTCAAGTGACAATATGTGAAGCACAAGATAATTTCTATTCCTATTCTCTCAGTAAATCATACACTTTTCCAGGTAACATAGTCAGAGGGACCATGCCAATGAATCTCACTCGTAGTGTCCCGGACGTATGTCTTGCCAATCTTGGTAACTATGGTCTTTATGAATCATGTTTACCCATAAGCAGCTATTTAAGTTATTACAATATAGTGACTTTGAGGGAAAAAGTAAAAAGGAAACAAATTTATTTCTTGAATTGTATCGAGATAGACATTAATTTAACTTGTACAAACAACATACAATTACCCATCCCTAAAGCCAATAATTCTCGATGTAGAGTGGCTGTTTTATTTGGCTGCTCGACACTATGTCTTCTACTTTCTCCAAGTCACAGCTAGCTGCTTTCAGGAGAGCAGGAAAGAGGCAATTTTACTCGGTTCTCTAAAGTTACATAAAAAATGCTTTATTCCACACTCTTGCCAGTAACGGCTACTCTAATTTTCCTGAAAAAAAGTTAGGAGTGATATATCATTGTCACCTAAAACCTGGCCTCCGAATGAGTTCGATAGAATGGAAAGAATGACCTTAAACCGTTTTGAGAGGCCCAAACCATCATCTGTGAGCAACGGAAAAGCTTGGTGGCGAGAACAACTGAACCTTTCGCTGTGCATTCAGGAATGGACACGCTAAGAAAAGGAGGAACTGCAATGGATGCTTGTTTGGCGACAGCTCTTGCAGGTATACAAAAAAATGGGATATTTTTCATAGCTCCCTGACTAATTGTTCCTTGTCCATGTGTTAAATCTATAATCATGAAAACTTTAAAACAGGGATCGTGAATCTAAAGGGGCAGATGACTCGAAAAATGGGGCGATGTTATTTTGATTATCTCCATTTGTGATTTCATCGTGTCATTAACATTCAAGAAAACAGATTTGGTTTTACAAAATGGACAATATCTTCATTACTTTAACATCAGCATTAGCTCCACTTACTCCCCCCAGCCGAACAACCCCACCCCCCCTCTTCTGTCTCCCAAGCTAAAATGAAGACCTGAATTAAACTCACGCCAACTTGTAGTAAACTGCTGCCACCAATTTTCCAACTTAAGGCCTGAATGTTAAACACGTTAAAGTAGGAAAATGGTTTGTATTCATAATTTTGTTGAATAGAAAAGAATTAAATCGGACATTGGTAAACAGAAAGACCTTGTTGTGCTATTCTTGTCAGAAGCGCTCGAATTTATTTACCCTCGCAAAGTAAATTTGCCAGCAATTTTCCAATTTCCTTTATTTTAATTATCTGATCACGAGGAATGTCACGTGTATGTGAAGCACAAGATAATTTCTATTCCTGTTCCTTCAAGATCATTTTCATTCTAAGTAAATCATACACTTTTCCAAGTAACAGTCAGAGGGACACTTAATCAATGAATCATGCGCGTTGCCAATCTCGGTAACTATGGTCTTAATGAATCATGTTTACCCTTAAGCAGCTATTTAAGCTATTAAAATATAGTTACTTTGAGGGAAAAAGTAAAACAAAAATTAGTTCTTGAATTGTGTCGAGATAGACATTAACTCAACCTGCACAAACAACATACAATTACCTATCCATAAAGCCAATAATTCCCTATGCAGAAAGGCTGGTTTATTTGTTGTACCAAGTTTGGCTGCTCCCTCCACTTTGTTTTCTACTTTTTTCCAAGTTACAGCTAGCCGCTTTCATCAGAGAGGGAAAGAGCCAATTTTACTCGTTTCTCTAAAGTTACTTAAAAATGCTTTATTCCACATTCTTGCCAGTAACGGCTACGCTAATTTTCCAGAAAAAAAGTTAGGAGTGATATTATATCATTGTCACCTAAAACCTTGCCTCCGAATGACTTCGATAGATTGGAAAGAATGACCCTAAATCGTTTTGAGAGGCCCAAACCATTAGTTGTGAGCAACGGGAAAGGCCTGGTGGCTGGAACAACTGAACCTTTCGTTGTGCATTCAGGAATGGATGCGCTAAGAAAAGGCGGGACTGCAATGAATGCTTGTTTGGCGGCAGCTCTTGCAGGTATCCAAAAAGTTTGGATCTTTTTCATAGCTCCCTGACTAATTGTTCCTTGCCCATATGTTAAATCTATAATCATGAAAACTTTAAAACAGGGAGCGTGGGCAGATGACTAGGGAAATGGGGCGATGTTAATTTGATTATCTCCATTTGTGATTTCATCGTGTCATCAACATTTAAGAAGACAGATTTGGTTTTACAAAATGGACAATATCTTCATTACTTTAACATCAGCATTAGCTCCACTTACTCCCCCCAGCCCGCAACCCCCTCACCAACACACACACACGAGGGTGATACGGGACCCCTATAATGGCCCATACGGGATGGTTCCGTTCGTTTCGTTCCCCCTTTTTTAAGCTTCAGGTATATGAAAGGTTGGCGTTTAACGAATTGATGTATACTATAGTATCCGAAAGAATAATCTCTCACTTAGGCATTTAAAAAGAGTTTATGGCTGTGTTTTTGTAAAAAAAAAAAAAAAAAAAAAGCTTTTGTTTTGCCAATTTGGAATAGAATAGAATAGATTGAGAGTATTGAGTAATGTCCCATTCATTTTCGTTATAGAGATTACCCTAGCAACAGGTTCCTACGTTTCGTACGCTGGTGTTACTCAAATCCTTTATTACGAGAAATCTTCTACTAGAGTGTTCAGTATAATTGGTGGCTGGAATACTCCTCTTCACGGGGACCCGTCTCAGATCCCTAAGGTCCACACCACTGGAAACAATGGTGCATCAGTCCTCGTTCCTGGATTCATTGCCGGCGTTGTTGATGCTGCCCAGAAGTTTGCAAAGTTCCCTTTGGAAACCTTATTTGAGCCTGCTTTATTTTTCTCTGAAAATGGTTTCAAAATGTCCGCTGAGTTGGCGAATTCGAGAGGCCGCTCAACACATGATATAATGGTCGTAAGGTTTTCGTGTCCGGAAACGACTGGGGTGGAGTTGAATTGATGGAAAAGTTGAACCTGATGGAAATGGCGGGAATTGGTCAAACGCCAAGCTCTAAATACCTTATAAATGCAACTGAATTTTTCTTGCTTGCCTCGATCTCTCATTTTGGTTTTTTTCGTCTCCACTTACTTGTATAGTACTCCAAACGGTCTGTCAATTTTGAAAGAAAATCTGGACTTGGACTTATCAAATCGCTATTCCAGAAAAACCGCAAAAGCCATTTGGCATAGGATTGGCTCGTCCGAAAAGATGAAAGAGATTAATTGCATAATAAAAAAGCTACTTGGAGGGAGGAAGAGCAAGGACGACTTTATTCACAGTTCAGATGCAATTTTTGCACCAGACAAAGAAGGTAATATTTGCTCTATGATTCGCACCATAAACAGTCAAATGTGGGGAACAGGGCTGTTTGCTCAGGGTGTTGCCCTTCCCCATTCTGCTGCGATATTCAAGGCATTCGTCAAGCAGACGAAACCCGGGGAGAGGCTTCCTGTTGGCCTTCAGCCTGTTATAACGTTCAAAACCGAGAACTCCACTCAAGCTTTCCGTCCTGTCATGGCTCTCTCAGTTGTTGGCTCACTTATCCTGTTGTTGTTTCGCAGTATGTGACGAATCTGTTGGACAGTAAGATGAATCCAAAGGAAGCCATGGAGTCTCCCACTTTTCTACTGCCGAGTTTTCAGAATTCTTCCAGTCTGTTCCCTTAGAGTACTCTCAGTTGACGACAAGGTGCTGCAGGAAGTGCGAAACATGGGTCAAGGCGTTACCGAGGTAGACTACTTGACGGCGTATGGACCGATTGGTTTGGGGGTGGTGCTGACGATCGATGACAACGTCAGGCTGATCGCACGGCTAGTTTGGCTTTGCAGCGCACTATATCTCACCGTTGCATGACTGATCAGTTTTTGGTTTCTTGGGCTCCCCTGGGTGTAAATGTCAATTCGGCGGCACTTTTGACTCCGCTTGTCTTAGTTCAACGTTTCTGGGTAACTGACTACTGGCCTATCCCTCCCCTAAGCCAACATTTTTACCTAAGTGAGAAGTAGGTGCTAATGTTGGCTTAGGGGAATGGTAGGTGGTCAGTTACCCATAGAAACGTTTTGTGATCCGTTCAATTATAGTGGATGATCGTGACTGAGTCTATACCCTACACCTTAGTGACTCTCTTGGTCTGTTCGTTTTGACAGTGAATGGCAGTGGTTAACTCCATATGCTATGGTTGGTGGTTTGCTAAGCTCGTTTGCCTCCTGACTCGGCAGTGCGTTAACGAGCCAGATAGAAGGTTCTGCTTGTTTAATACTCTCTTCTCACTTATGGTAATATGCCCGTCTAACCTCGTTTACGGGTAAAAATTATTTTGAAATTCAAATACGAAAACGTCGTCTGATTAGCATTTCAAAGGACTTTTTACTCAAAAACGAGGTTAGACGGGCATATTACCATACGTGAGAAGAGCGTATATGGGGTTCAAAATGACCCGGTATATTTTTCGCTTATAAGGGAAAGAGTTCTCTTCCGTGGCTATTTATTGACTAAAATACTTGTGAAAAACCTGTCTAAAAATTCCTGCAGGTTTTAAGCAGTTCTGTTAGCCACGTGTTACCTCTCTATGCAAGAATAGAAAATATATATATAACAATGGTTAGTGCAAAGCGCTATTTCCTGTCTCTTTAATACCTTTTTAATCTCTTTGTGGCTTCCGGATCCGAATCTAGCACGACAATCAATAAAAAGGGATATATTTGGCCCTTGGCAGCTAGCCATTCACGTGGAACAAAACGGGTGTGCCGGGGAGCAAACGTCGAACTGGGACAAGAGAAACAAAAAACATCATAATTTTAAATGGTAATTTCCTTGTTTGTCTCGTTCCAGTGCAACTTTTGCTCTCTGTACCACGTGAAAGGCTAGTGCAAAGGGCGCGCCTATATTACATACTAAATACTCAAATATCCTTTTTTGGCCCACGTTTTTAAAAAGATTGAAACTACTATGAGGTGAAATTGCATGTCAAAAGCGCGTCGTTTTCTACAGATAACGGCCAAACATCAAGATTTTCCTTTTTTACCGTATTTCTAACGGTAAAAACTTTATCCCAAAAATATCTCCGCAACGCTCTTACAGATTCCGTTTTAACTTTAAGAACATCGAGGCGACTATTGGAGGAAAATGCTCTCGTGAACGATTTTGGAAGAACAGTTCCCAGTGAGAAATGTTGCTGCAAGTATAACAGGTAATGGCGTCATTTGGTTGCTATGACAACTCCGATGTTATTGCAACCCGGATCATAACAAATTTTCAGCTTTATCTATTGCAACTGTGGTGGCAATTTCTCCAAAAGTTTGTTTATGGTGTCGTAGTCTATGCTCAAAAAAAAACTTCACAGGTATTGACCCTGAAAAACTGTATGGAGCCACTTTCATGTGCTAGTACGGCCTATGTTGTTGCATCGTATGGCCCTCGTTTCTGTTCGACTGTTTTGTAAAAATTTGGGCAACTTACAAGAATTTTTTGGGCAGATGGTTTACCGCCCCCCCTGGCAAAAAATTGCCCGTACGCCTATGGTTATGTCATGTTTCAATACAGTGCTATCTAAAACAGAGCTACGGAGCTACGATCCGATTTCATTAGCCTTCATTGACCAGGTCGCCTTATTTTCTGGTTTTAACCAGTTATTTGAGTTACTTGGAACAGATTTTGCTTCCTATGGCGGTAATACCTTTTATATATTAGAACAAAGCTCAAAAATCATGTAAAAAACGCTCATTGCGAATTCTAGCTATGAACAGTTGTCATGTCGGAATGACATGAAAGTTTGTCTGAGTCACGCGGGGGGTCTAAGGTGACAAAACCTTTTGGCATAAACTTCTAGCCTGTAGCGTCTGTCATGCAGGCTAGGCAACTTCACAGTAGCTGGGGAAAATTCGTATTCAGGGATTACAGACATTGCGGTCTTAGAGCCATAAGTGGTTTCAAACGAGGTGCAATTTTTCCAGGGGTGAAATGATTTAACCCTTGGACGTAAATGCAAATTCGTACCCCCCACCGTGGTACAAGAGGGGGTGGATAGACCCTCCCTCCCTAGAGTTTTTGATGTGTTGCAGTATTTCGAAACGATTTTACCGTTAGTGGAAAGCCTTTGATCTTCTCTACAAGATGAGATATATTTTATGGGTAGTGGCGCTGCTGGGGGCCTGTGACGTCACCAACAATAGTCGCCATCTTGGCCGCCATCTTGGATTTTACCAAGAATGAGAAATCAGGTTAAACTGCGAGAAATGGTGATGTTTTTTGTGCTCGAGAGGAAAAATATAACATAAATAAACACTTTGCATGATTTTAGCCACAGGATCTACTTTTATTGTTGAAAAAAGTTGAAAAAACATGTACTTTTACTCAAAAATGATTTGACCACCTCCTACTTATGACGTCATATCTTGTAACCATAGAAACTGACAATCACTGTACTTGACTCGAAATGCGCGCGAGGGATAAACGAACAGTTACTGAAAACATCAGTTGCTGATCTGTTCAGTACTCTGAGAGAAAACTCACAAAAACCTTAGACAGTGGCATTTACCCACCCCCCAATTGTACGTATGAGGGTTAATATAAGCTTGCATCCAAAATGAATGATTCAAAATTTATCATGTATAGAACACTAAAAGACAATTACGTGATATAAATTATGATAATATTTCTAAAAAGCAATATGATAGTACACAAATGCTAGTTTCAATTTGTTTCACTGGTAAACGTCTTTTTAATGGTAAGATTTTGGGCAAAAAATTGCTCTGAGGAGATAGCGAATAGATAAAAAGGCTTTCCTTTCTCTCCTTCCTCCCCTTCTCAAATTTTAAATCTTCTCTCTCCCAAGCTAAATTAAAGACCTGAATTAAACTCATGCCAACTTGTAGTAAACTGCTGCCACCAATTTTCCAACTTAAGGCCTGAATGTCAACAGATTAAAGCAGGAAAATGGTTTGTATTCATAATTTTGTCGAATAGAAAAGAATTAAATTGGACATTGTAAACAGAAAGACCTCGTTGTGCTATTCTTGTCAGAAGCGCTCGAATTTATTTACCCTCGCAAAGTAAATTCGCCACCAATTTTCTAATTTCCTTTATTTTAATTTTCTGATCAGGAGGCAGGTACGTGTATGTGAAGCACAATGCAAGATAATTTCTATTCCTATTCCCTCAAGATCATTTTCATTCTGAGTAAATCATACACTTCATGGTAACATAGTCAGAAGGACACTGAATCAATGAATCATGCGCGTCCGTCCCGGACGTATGTCTTGCCAATCATGGTAACTATGGTCTTAATGAATCATGTTTACCCTTAAGCAGTTATTTAAGCTATAAAAATATAGTGACTTTGAGGGAGAAAGTAAAACAAAAATTAGTTCCTGAATTGTATCGAGATAGACATTAACTCAACCTGTACAAACAACATACAATTACCTAT